TCACTATGAACCACTACTAACCAGATTTACTTGGAAGGCCGTCGTCACTATGGTGTATGGTCTGCACCCGACGCTCTGCTCGTATTTTGAAAGGGAGGGTAGTGATTTTTGACTGTGAACCACTTTAGCGTAATCGTGATCGTAATCACTGCTTTTCATGGAGCATTCCAATTGTTTGGAGATTAAAATGACTTAATTATTCTTCTTTTTGTCATAGGTTTCCCATACCCCATATGCTCCGCTTTGTCTATCCCCACTGGTGTGCGCCGCGCATGCGACTTCTACTCAAAACTTCGCAAGGGTTTAAGTGCGCATTACGAATTCACCTGAAATTTGAAATTGTAAAAAATGGTGTTGTTATTTTATGCCTATTAAAATTTTAAGAATCCGTAGTAATATAGGGCCCTGGAATCACTCCGATACCGCGGACGGCATTAGAACATACAGTGACCCTCGTCCCCATGCTGTCCCGATTTGGGGAGTGAAGATTTCTTAGGTTTTTCACCTCACGATAAGAACGAAGGTCAAAGAAGGGGAAAATTGCATAGTTGGGAGACAGGCGGACCTCCTGAGGGTGCTGACCGACGCGCAATTGGCAGCGAAAGATTTGACCTCGGCGATCTAGCATGGCTCACTCTTGGCGCGGTTGGCGGGGTACGCCCACCGACTATCTAATCACTCGCCGCAGGTCTATACGTGGCGAGTGATTAGATAGCAGAGAGAGCGTAGTGTTGAAGAGGGCACAGCGATGAGAGTCGCATCAATGCGCAAATCAACGGGCAAGGAAGGGGTCCCATTTCTCGGGTTTCGGGCCGTTTCAAATGGTTTCTTCTTCATCCCTGCTCCACTGACCACCTCTACCCTTATTTCCAATGAGCTAACTTTTCATCGTAAATTCTGCCTTCAATAAGTTGCTTGCTAAATTGGTGGCTTGTTGTAAGGTTTATTCAATTCGTACAAGAGCCGTATCAGTGGCACACGGCTATTCACAGCCAGCCAACTGATACGGGTAAGTAATAATCCTCTATCAAGGGTTAAAAAGTCGTGAGGTCGCGCAGAGCGAGACACATGCTCCTTTGCGTACCATGTGCGTGATATCGTACCCAAAGCCCTCTACCGCTCCTCCACCCTCCAGGGTTGATTGTTGATATGGTGTCGATGTTGTTGTGTGATTAAAGGCAGTGGTCGATGACTGAAAGGTGGACGTTTGGATGACGTCATTGAACGAATTTCATTGATGATTTAAACACCTTAGCGAGGGAGGGAGGGGGGGGGTGGTTGGTTGGGATTGCCTGCAAACAAAGTTTCACAATAACGTTTAATGATGTCCTCAAAATAGTACCACCCCCACGCTCGTGATCACTACCTTTAATCCTGGTTTTATTTTCTCACACTTCCAATTCCGTTCCGACCAAAACTCAACTCGGAGACTGTCGAACGACAATAATGGAGGAATGTTACGAATTCTACGAAATTTACCAAAATTTTTTTCCACTCTCCAAAAATATGTCTTCACATCCTTTTAAGAAATGCTATCCCATTTCGCCAAAACCGACCCACGCCTCCACGAATCACAAGGCGCGCCCATTTGTCTGACTGGGCCACTCGGACTTCTCACTCTGTCTCCAGTTTGCACGAGCAGTAATCGCTAGCTGCTTGCTTACTGAGTTTAGACACATAGGTATAGGCGCATAAAACGTGAAACAACAACTGTTCCTTGATTTATTGACCAGAGAACGAAAAAGATTCCTCGCGATTCGTTTGTTATCATTAAAGGCAAAGTTCGGGCTCAGACCCACCTAAGAAGCCCTTACCATGGCTAGAAGTGCTGGGTACGCAAGTGCAAAGGTAGCGCCACCTTTCTACATCGAAACGCGTCACTAGGACCCTAGGCGCCATGGACTTCTAACAGACTCCACCAAACTTAACATGGTCCGCCCACCGTTCGATATCTTGTCTGCGTCGCCACGTTGATCTGCTATGCTCTCTCTTCTCGGACTTCTCTACCGCTCTCCGCGCTCACATTATCTCTCATCTCCCTGCCTGTCTTTTGAACTTCTCCACAGCATGGAGCAAAATGCTCGTATTTCCTGTGTATTTCAGGATTTTCTTCCTTTTTTTCCGCTGGCGGTCCACAATTATCACATTTGACTGGAATTAAACCTATCATAGATCCTGGTTCTTGCCATTGATAATGACGCCTTTGTTCCAGGTGTTATGGTGGATTTCGCAGCCATATCATTATTAGGTCCGTTGCGTCGACCGTTGACGAAAATATTGGAGTTTCTGCAGTGTCCCTAAAGGCCCATTGTATTGCCGTCGTAGCTACGACTTCCAGCGATGAAAAGGATATGGAATCCACTGGGCACTTCAGAACTGAACCTTGAAGAGGATTGCACGAAAAGAACGAAGTTATCGCCTAGGCGGTGAATCTTATTGAGGGTGCGGACAGACACGCAATCGGCATCGAAAGATTTGACCTCTGAGATCTAGCATGGCTCAAAGTTGGCGAGTTCGGCGATCTCCGCCCACCGATCGTCTGATCACTCGCCGTAGTACAATAGGTGGCGAGTGATTAGATAGCTGAGAGAGCGTAGGGTTGAAGAGGGCAAAGCGATGAGAGTCCCATCAATGCTCAAATCAACGGACAAGGAAGGGGTCCCATTTCTCCGGTTCTGGGCCGTTTTTCGTGGTTTCGCTTTCTTTCTGGTACTACTCACCATCTCTACCTCAATTTGGAATGGGTTGCTTTTCCATCGTAAATTCGTCCTTTAAGTGCCGCAAGTATTCATAGCTCGGCACAAGAAGTCATGCAACAGTGAAGCGGTGGTCAGCCCAGCAGTGAGGTCCAACATTTTTGAGGTGAAGTCGCTTAGTTTGAGCCTGTTAAGGTTCAAACCTCCAATGAACTATAACGTTACGTGACTGTAAATCATACTATTAAATTTTTCACAAGTGCATCTAACATTTGGCAAGGGCTCTCATGGCGTGGGGGGACATTCAGAACAGAACATTCAAAAACCGCTGGTAGGTGACACTAGGACTGAGCCCGGGAGAGGAGAGAGAAACGCCAGGGAGAACCAGAAGTGCTCACACTCTTTCCAGAATCCATTCCTTTTCCTAACACTTATGGGTAGTCCTATGTACTGAATGTGGCTCACTCACTTGAATGTCACCTCCCCTCCAGAGACATGGGCGCTTTCGCAAAAATAGCGATCCCCGCAACGACGTGGGATCACTGAAGTAGGAGAATGCCCTGCTCTAGATGATGAAAGAATAATGAAAAAATTCCGTATTCAGGTCGAGCTTATTCTCCTAGTTAATAAGCAGTCAAGGGGAAGAACAACAAATATCGAATCGTTTTTTTATTTCGATCACTTTATATGCACAAAGATGAATGATGAAGATGCTTTCTTCTTCGTAGAATACTTAGCGTCCCCACATGCCGTAGCCCATGCCGCCCAATCCACCGTAGCCGAGTCCTAGCATGCCGAGACCACCATAGCCGAGTCCACCAAAACCCCAAGGATAGCCCTAAAATAGACTACATTGTTCAGACCAACTTATGGGTTACTTCTTGATATGTTGCTTCAACTCACGAAAAACTGGGCATCTGTCGACGACACCGAGAGGCACAGTACAATTGCAGGCAATGAGAACGATTCTAAAAGATGTATTGGATCATTCACAATAGTATTCATTACTAGATGAGGCTCCTATAGCGAACATTGTTAATAGGAATCATTGATTGAACTTTGAAGAGCAAAGACTCGACTTACACTGATGAGAATGCCATGCTGTTAACGGAAAGGGTTGCGAGTTGGAGTTGAAACTGCGAGTTGAAACTGACAGCAAGTTGGAACTTAAATACTGTCTCGATGCTTGTTCGTACAACATTTTTTGCAGAGAGTTCTAACCTCTGTCCCGCAAAAAATGTTTTGCATATTTACCGAAAGACAAGTTTCCGGATGTCATGACACTCGGGTGTATGTAGATAGGATTATGTTTATTCGCAAGTTTTCAGATATCGCGAGGTAAACCTGTTCTCGCCGTTCTCACCGGCGTGGTAAACTTACCCCACTCGACCGCAAGTGTACTCGAGACAGTGAAAATTGGAGAACAATGGACAACTGGCAATTCACGGGGAGTTCCTTTGGGAGATCAAACTCTCCGACCTTTTCTCAGCGTAAGCTGCCTTGCTTAATATTAATATTATTTATTTATCAGGTTGAGTCTATGCTAGCCTCTCGTGGAGAAGGACTTCTTTCTCTCCTGGGCTCTCATTATCTCTCATGTCACCGCTAACCCTTATTCTCCTTCACATGAAGGAGGGATAAACCGTCTTTTCTACCTGTTTCCGACGGTTATCTTCTTTTTTGACCGGTAAATTTCCATTTCGCTCCCCTACGTTTACTAACGAGCGCTCTATCCCACCAACTTTGATCCTGGGCGCTACACTAGAAGATAAAAAGAGCTTAAAGCCACGAGTCGGGATCAAGTCCCAAGAGCGATTCCTTTCCAGAGAGAGAAGAGCGCACACCAAGGGCAGGAGGCACGTCAATTCGGTGCATCAAAAGTGGCGAGGCCATGGGCTAACAATTAGGCATTGCGCCTTATGCTGCCACCCTTATCAATCACGGCATATGTGGTCTCTGAGCCCTCTCGCGCACGACGTGTCATCTCGCGTTTTCCCTCTCCTCGCAGTGCTGTGTCTCTCCGGTCATATCACTGCCGGCCTTGTAAGGGAACTTTAGTGTTTTTATTTGCTTTTTTCCTCAATCATTTTCCTCACCGCATTTCATGCCTATTTTTCAAGCAAAATAGTGCATCAGTCCAATCATGACTCGCGCCTTTTGAGTCTGTACAAAGGCATCTCGAATAGGTCATCTCTGACCCATTAGCGCTGTAGTGGACGCAATTTCCACATTTAGGGTTGATGGGTAGGTGGGACGTCACCACAAGACCCATGAGGAGCCCAAACCCCAGAACAATTATCGCTCAAGTGCTAAGGTATTTTAATCTCACGGCATCTTAGTTGCACCAGATCTGTCTGATATTGTGAAAGGGCTACATTCCCATCGTCTTAACTTTCTATTTCGATTCGTAGGCCAAGTTCGAAGGTCGCGCCGTGGGGCTTTGATTTTTATAGAGGTAGGAAGTCGCGGCGCTGACAGCAGAAGGCAATTAAAACGAACTTTACTTTTATTCTCTTATCGCGCTCTGTGAAACAAGAGCATAGCAAGAAACCTAAAAGATTCACCAACAGCCTTTGTCACCTATAAGTTGGCTTTTCAACTCTGTTCACCTTCACCTGGGCAATCATCCCACATTGTTGTTGAATTTGCTATTTCTTCAGTCGAGCGTGATTTTCTACCAACACAAGGTTTTGCCAAGTAGAAGGGCAACAAGATTGTATCAACTAATTTAAAGCATGTTGATACACGGTGTTTGGAAGTTTACATCCTCCTCCAAAAAAAAACTAACAGAAAGAGTTCTGGTTCTAGAAGCAGTAGTGTAGTGTCGGTTACCGCTAACCAGTTTACCTAATACCCAGCGCAGTTCTCACGCGAACCTCTTGAACAAGCAGGACTAGAACTCCGGTTTTTGGGGTTGTACTCACGGACAGGCTCAAAATGTAAGTTTACCCGGATCAGGTTACAGGCGTGAGTCACCATCGCTATTGACACAGTCGCTTGAACTTTCTAAACAATTTTTTTCTACGAATTCTTGCAATCGACATTTTCTCCCTTCGCCTTGGCATCCTTTCATAACAATAAGGCTGGTGTCAGAGTCGCGCTATCCGTCGCGCGATTCGCGCGACTCGTGCCTTGTACGAACATTTTAAGTCTTGAATATGAAACAGGTAGAATCAATGAGCAGCCGTCATTCAATCCTCATCATCAAGCAGAAATTTTGGCGGGATTGGAGAGCACCTTTTAGTATTGACCGGGGCACTTGTGATGCCTGCGATCGCGCGACGGATCGCGGACTCTGACGCCAGCCAGGCGCGTCTTGCCTCAAGTAAATGATTCGTAATAACTTCGTATAGCATACATTATACGACATATTGTGCTGCGCGAATATGAGGTGATTTCTGGCGGATTTCCGGGACATTGAAAACTTCATTCAATTCACTTACCACACTTTTCCTCTAACTTATCATGTCAGGAATCAAACATTATTGTATTTGTAAAAAGTAACTTCATAATTACAATTGTATAATCTTCATATATACTCTACTACTATATTTATTATACATTCATACATATCGCCTGAGCAACGAATTCTATCCAAAACGGCCAAATCTCCCGAACATTCGGCCAAATCTTCCGAATTCCTCGACCGAATCCACCACGTCCACGCCCTCTTCCACGTCCTCCCCTCTCCTCTGCAACCCACCATCATCATTGCGTAAATCTCCAAACTTGTTGCCTTTCCTGCGTATCCTCCAAAGTATTGCTATTTCCTCCGTATCCTATGGGTTACCTCAAAGGAAGCACATAAAGGTCGTTCAAAAGGCTTTCAAGACTTGAAGGCCCATTCTGTGAATGAATAACTTTTGTCCGAATTTAAACTCGGTTATGGTAGTTGATCGTTACAGAAGTGGTGTAGTGGCAAGTGGCACGCTTACCAGTTACGGTCCGGGGATCAAATCCTGGGTCGTAAGTCGCCGGGCCAACCAAGCCTTCCATCCCTCCGGGGTCGGTTAATTGGTACCAGACTTGTGGATAAAAACACTGACTTGTACATCGGCTGGCCCCCGCAAGTCATTGTATAGGCCACATCGCATTCAAACGCCACTACGAATGTACAAATGGAAGTAGAATGCGTGCCGCATCCCAAAAAGGGATTGATCAACGGCAAATGCTTTATCCTTTATCCTTTATTGTAGTTAGTTCATCATAATAAAACGGAACAAAAATTGGCTAAGAACCCGAAAATCTACTGTGTTGATCGCACTCTTATAGAATGGTCGAATACGGTACAGTACTGCAAAAAGATAGGACGAACCAATGAGAGTTCAGTACGATCGAGGCGCAAGGCCCGCCCATACGACCAGCGCGCGGTGTTATTTTGAGGTTCCTACCAGATTTTTGGCTTTCTTTTATTAGTGTTGGGCCAATTACCACAAAAGTTTTCAATTTTGAACACAATGACATAAGCTTGTTTCATAGTGGAATGTGCCTGTAATCCCAATAAAATTGGACTTACCGTAGTTTCCTCCTTGGAAACCCCATTGTGCTTCAACCACACATAGAACGGCAATGAGGCACAAAGTCACGACGAAAAATCGATTCAGCATTCTTAACTAAAAAAGATTAGGAACAGTTGAACACAGCTAATGGCACGAAAATCAACAAAGGAGCCTCAAAGAATTTCAAACATAGGATTGAAGTATACCTTTATGATAAACAGCTAGTTACTGGTTACTGTAACTGAACGGCGCTCCCAGGAAATTAGTCAGTATTTCAAAAGATAAGCGATCAGCTGCAATCAATCAATCAGTCCATTCATTCTGCCCCACATAGCAGTCAAGTAGGCTGATACGATATAGTTCTTACCTGTAACCGTTCAACTTCGATACGATTGCGGTGAATGACGTTCGCCGAAAACTATCAGGCCGCGCTTTTCGATGGAACGCATCGACGTGTGACACGCCCGTCACCTTTGACATATAAAACCGAATAGCTCCTCGTGAATCGTTTACCCCGTTAGATCACGGTCATTCATCAGACAAAGTATGCTGAAAGACGGACGAAGATTCGCTGAGAAGCTTGAGTCGTCGAAGACTCGCCATATAACTTCGAAAATTTTCGACAATTGCTGAGACCCATTTCTCTGAGAGACGATCATGTTGCATAAGCGGGATTACATGCGCACCACATTCAAGCAATTTTTTCTCGAGATGAAAGCTCGAGTGCATGGCGCAATCTGAGAGTAGGGCTTTCCAAGAACTTGAAAGCAAATTCTTATGAACTCGACGAGCTGACAATGAAAAACGAAAGAATTGTCGAAGTTATATGGCGAGTACCGTATGTGGATGAGTTTGATATACATTCTGATTTCTATTTATATTAATAGAAATCAGATATTGATTGAGATATTGATTTCTGCTTGTCTTTCTGCCCTTCTTCTGCTGTTTTATCGATCTCGCTTAGCCTCCAAACCTAGTCCGTTCTAAGGGCATTTCTCGATGGTTGTGGCGCGAATAGACTTTGATAGCGAAGAGAATACCCAAACTCTTTGTTCGAGGAGCTTCGTTTTGAGGGGGGGGGGGGGGGGGGGGGGTTTCAAATAAGCATACTGGAAAAAGTGATAGGAATGTCGGCGTGATGGAGATATGCCCAGGGTCAGCCGGTCCGGTTTGCGCGCGATTTTGAAAAAATTTCGCGACTCTTCTCCTCCCAGTCTTTTCAACCCCCCCCCCCCCCACAGCGTCACTTCCCTGGTCACCATGGCAGTTCTGATAGCATTTGATTCTGAGTCAGTCGACGCACAAGTTCCGCCCTAAAATTCCCTCCAAAGCAGCTGGCAATTGGGGGGGGGGGGTAAGAAAATGGGTCAAAAAAAATTATCATGACAATGACAATGTGCAGTCAAAAAGCAGAGTAGCCTTATAATATAAAAAATTATAGGGAAGTGCTCGGCACTCATATCAAAACCAAAAACGGATACGGGTTGAAATTTGCCACCTACTGCGCCTACATGGTCTCTAAAAGGAGCGAGGAAGATGTGCGCAGTGGCACGCAAGCGTGAAAATGGCTTCAGGATTACTGCCTCGCTTTCTTCAGGGGACTAATCTCGTATTGGGACGTGCCACGCATTTCTTCTATTCAGATCACCAAGCTAGACATTGATGAGATCTGCAAGACTTGCGACGCGCACGGGTGAAAAGCAGTGTCTGTTGGGCAGCCCCAATTCATATTTTTTCAAAATTTGTCGATAATGGATCAGGCTTTCATTTAACAAAACCCTCAAATGCTTGTTGAGGGTCTCGAATCTAGAAGGAAGCGCACAGCTAGAATAATTTTGTCGCACTTTAGGGCGTTCCTACTATGATGAGTTGGACCCGGGCTGTCCGCCGTTCATCCTCCATTGTTTTGTTGGTTTTCCTAGACCAAAATATGAACCTAAGCCAACTGTAAACCGAATTTTGTAGAAGCCTTATGCCCAGACAATTCTTCCGATTTCATGTCCGACGAAGATTTGTGACAATCCTCACTATAAATTACCAATGAAGAACAGTTGTCGTATTCTTTAAATATTGATTGAATGCAACTACTGTGTCAACAAGTCTCTAAAAATATATATTTGAAAAATGCTCGAACTGCGTGGTTACTAGAGGAGTTTCCCGCTCCCTGAACTTCACATACGCACAACATTCGCGCAACCTCGAGTAACAACATTTTCCATGTAGCATATGATATATAATATTTATTACATCTTTAGGTCACATACATTATCAATTATACATACATATTGATCAAATGAGCGCGTTTTACCCGAATCCTCCAAATCCTCCTCTACCGTATCCTCCTCTACCGTATCCGAATCCTCGACGTCCGTATCCTCCAAATCCACGACCCCCATATCCTCTCCCATATCCTCCATATCCTCTTCCAAATCCTCCTCTACCGTATCCGCCGTAGGGTCGACCTGAACCATTATTGTCATGAAAATCTGTGACTGTGAATCAATGACTATGAAGTGCGTGGAATCGTTGTGAACTTACCGTAGTAGCCGAACTGTGCTTCAACCACACATAACGTGGCGATGAGCAGTAAAGTCGCAACAAGAAGTCGATTCAGCATCCTTAATCGTTAAATGTAAAAGATAAAAGGATAATGAGGCAAAGATCATGATCGCGGTAAACAATAACAACAACAACAACAACAACAACAACTTTAACAGCTCCTGTGATAGACCGAATATCTTCGGTAATCGAAGCATGACATCTGTGATGACACAAGGCCATTTCTTATAAGTAAATTGAGCTTAAAGATTAAGCGACAGTGAGTGGGGTTATACAAAATGTTCCTATCATTGAAGTGCCCGACTTTTATAGGAGTAGTGAAGATGGCGCTCGCCGAATTAGAGTCATATATAAAACGTGTTGATATGTCCTGTTACCGTCAGCATTGACATCATTTGAATTGGATTTCACCGATCTCTGACTCTTATCATGATTATCACCGCTGCCGCCTAGTCTCGCGATCCAGTTCTTCGGAGTTCGGTTACATGCCGGGTTTTGGCTTGGCGGAAGAACAAGATATGTGGGAGCATTTCAATGTTAAGGGGATGGCTCAAGGCCTTCTCCCAAATGAGACGTAGTTGCCTTACCATTAGGGTACCTAACAAGAG